AGTGTAATAGTTCATCACATATATATGCTATCTTTTAACTACTATCATTCAATAATTAATCTTTGTCCAGTGACCAATCTTTGTGTTGTAAATATTGCTCATTTTGTACATAAATCTGTACATTCCTGGTTATTCCTTCGGATACTCTCCTAGAAGGAGAATCCTCCACTTGCTGCTACCCTTTACTTTATGCAGTACTATATATCTCAGTACTTGCATTTTCTTTGTAAGACAGGATCTCACTAAGTTGCCCGAGCTGGCCTCTAACTTGTGATCTTCCTGCCTCAGCCTCCCAAGTCACTGTAATTTCAGGTGCGCATCACTATGCCCGGCTACTAGTACAATTTCTAGGTCAAAGGGAATTGATTTCTACTTGAGTTCTTGAAATTTTCAAATTCCTCTGCAGGAAAGACTTTATTTTCTCATTTTCCCTACTTTAATACATCTGCATGATCTTCTGTGTCCTCGAAATCTTTCCTTATTTACTGGTACGTAAAATAAAGGTGCTTACTCCCAGCAAGAGCACCTCAGAGCAAGTTAGATGGGCTCAGAAGGCTGCCGTCCTGGGTCACTTCCCTTTCTCTTCCAGTTCTACAGAATTCCGCAGGTGACCCATTCCTCACACGGCCCTGCTCCTTGCCTGGGCGACAGAGGCTAGGCCAGTGTTCTCGCTCCTTCCATCCTATAGGAAGCCGGACTCAGAACTTGCAGAGGTCCCACTGACTTCATGCTCTCTGATTTTCTGTCCCTAAACACAGCCACCTTGGTCTTCAGATCTTTCTTGTCCTGCTGCCAGAGGCAAGGTGGATTCTCCAGTGAGAAGGGGAACTTCTTTGGGAGGCAGGATGCCAGGTGAAATCTCTCCCCACTTCAGGCCCAGCCTGGGTCGAAGGCTGCACATTTTACTAACTCAGTGGCCCCGCTACCAGCCCTAAGGGAATGTGACTGGGGGAGAATGAGGGGCCCTCCCCCCAACTCTGGGTACACAAACAGTCATTTGCACCTGCAAACAGGTAGCTGTGTCCCCACCAAGTAAACACTGTGCAGGTGCGAGGGGCTGTTTGCTCAGGCCAGGGCGCTAACACAGCCGTCACACGAGAGGCTATTTTTACACCTGGGTCACACTCAGGGCCCTCCACCAAGGTCATGCGTTCCGAGGTGACTCCTGTCCATGGCTTGCCCCCACCTGGACCAACGCTACCACTGCCACCTCCACAGCCTTTGCCTTTGGCCTGTCAGGACTGCTCTGTCCAGACCCAGGCCCCCTGTGAGGGAAATAGAAGGCCCAGGGGTTCACAGACCAACCTTGGACCAAGACAGGAGGGACACCAGCGGGCCATACCAGCGTTCTGCTGGCAATAGACACTAGATGGCACTACAGTCTCAAAATTGGACCAGGACTCCCCAGTCCAGCTTAAACCTTGCCTGAGGCCTTTTCAGCCCTAACCTAGTGCAGCATTTTATTCCACTTTTCTCCATTACAGAAAAAGTAAATGTATTCAGAATTGAACAGAATATTAAAAAAACGAACTCTTATTTGACCATCTGGCTTCTGATCATTTTGTGGCCAATCTTGTCTCTTCTAAACCTCCTCCCTCTTTTCCACCTCATCCTGTCATTTTTAAGAAAATCACAGACATTCTTTCATTTCATTCGTAAGGATCTCAGTCTGTTGATCTAACAGGTAAAGATTTACACTTGGCTCCTTTTAAAGACAAGCAGACCAGCTTCTTCCCGCATTCTGCTTCATTTAAACTCTATAGTCAAAAATCCCATCGTCTATTCTTCTTTGGGGAAGAGAGGTCCATTCTTCTCTGTACACTTACTGTTTTACACTGGGGGACAGGATCTTTGCAAGGGACCTAACAATCTTGGGATGTGTCCTCTCTGCTGGTTACTACCTTCCCTGCCTCAAGAACCCAACCCAAAGATTGCCTCAAAGAATGGGCTACACAGTCAGAACCATTTTACTGGTCAGGTAAAGTCATTGGAGGTTGGCAAATATGTATTTGCCACTGACAAATATTTACCAGACATCTGCTGTTTAAGCAGGCCAATAGATGTCACAGGAGCTAAGAGGGCACCTTGCTCTCAGAATACTAGTATCTAGTTGGGCAATATCAATAACGAGTAACAGGATTACACAACCCATTTTCAGAATATACCCTCATCCGAGTTGGGAGTTGATGGCAGATGCTGCTGGTCTGGGATAGGAAGTGTGGATGTCCAGCCCAGGCAGAAGGGCAGGTGGTAAGCAGCAGCCAGGGAAGTGAAGAGCATGCTTCCCCAAGGCACCGGTCAGCTCCCTACCCCCAATCCCCCACCACACACCTCCAAGCCCGCAGAGGCCGCCACGCGTTCTACTACAAGATCTTGCCATCCAACTCATTCAATGAAATGTTACCTTAAAAACTTAAATTGTTATTACAAAGACAATATAGCTATAGAAGAAAATGCTGATTCCATAACGTTAAACTGAAAAACAGCACATAAAACCCCACCGACGCTGCGATGGCAGCTAAGTCCACCACCAAAAAGCCTTTCCTGTCAGACCGTACAGACTTCACTTCTTCAGGAACACCATTCTGCAATGCCATGCCTGCCTGTTTTTAAAAATCTAATTTAAAAAAAACAGAAAACAGATCACCCCAAGCTCCCAATCTAAAATGTGGAAGGGACAGTTTTACCCTCTTACATCTGACACTGACACTAAGACACATATTTATTTCTCTGTTGGGCTGCAGAATGGAGAGAATAAAGTTCAAAGCCTGTTGCTTAGGGGAAGTAAGGTGGCAGGCTGTGAGTCCCACGCCAGCACAAAGTTCAGGTAGGAACAACCTCTTCTTAGTCCTTCTCAGGAAGGGGACTGGGAGGAACTTCCCAGAGGGCAAGAGTGAGGGTGTGGCATGTCTCTGACTGGTGACAGCCCCACCACCCACCACCCAGCACCAGGCATCAGGGGAACTGGTCCAACCACTTGGGAGGCAGTGGAAGCCTAACCCTGGGAAGTGGGTCAGCATCACCCAGTGGGGAGCAAAGACTCCTAATAACAGTTGTAAAGCACTTTGCAAATAAGAGGAAAAACTTACAACAATGGCTGCAGAGTGCTTTGCAAACACCCAATGAGATAACGGTGATGGATTATCGTTGGGAGGCTGGGGCTAGGGGGCAGGAGGCAGGGAAGACCATCAGGGACAGACCTCGGTGCAGGTGCTTGGGGAGGGCTGAGGATAGGTAAAAGAGCTGGGAGATTTAGGAATCTGACCTTTTCTCAAACCATCCGGGCCATGCTCAGAATGGCACATTGCTCCCAGGCTTGGCCCAGTTTGAGTCTGCAGGCAGACAGCCAACCGAAGCAAGACTGATAGTGTGCCGCTCACAGGAAGTATCAATTAACAATTATTTTAGCAATCAAAAGCTCAAAATGAATTAGGGATGGAATCTAAC